AGTCAGACAGAGACAGGGGCTAGGGTGATAGGAATAGTTCCCTTCATCAATGCTAAATCATAAACAAATCAATGTAATCCATGAAAAAAATGGTCAACAATTATATGAAGGGTTTCACTTCTGTTTGCCTAATGGCAGCTGGAAATTAATTCCCACATGGATATTTTGTTACTAAAGCAAAATGTAAGATACAATTTTTAAAATTGAACTTATTTTTTCATTTATCTATAGTTTAAAAAAATACACCTGCATTCATTTTTGTTTTATTTTGAAAGAAATACACCATAAGCTATTTAGCCTTTTTTAATCTCTTTCCAACACTCTATGATCTACTTTAAATGTCTTGACAGATTATCTCTGCAAAAAAGACATAGAGCAACAGGAATGGGCAATGAAGAAAGAAAACATGTGGAAATGTTAAAACCACTCACAATACCAGATGATGCAGTATTTAATACAGAGCATTTAAAGAGCTTATTAAGCCTTTCCTCTAGATTTGATTTCCAGAAATTAACCTTGAGTTCAGACAGCACCTTTGAATACTCAGTTTGTATCTCTTTTATGTAACAGTCTGTGCTTTTTTTATTATACTGAAGACTTTCCATGATGATTTGTTGTTCTTGTGTTATTCCAGAACAAAAATAAATTCAATACAGTGCATATGTGAAGTATTTGCAACACTTCATTTTTCCGATTTTTGTTTTGTTACAGTTTTATTGCATTGCATTCATCTTTGTCCTCTAAATTCTACACACTACGTTCTTTGACATAAGTATGAAATATAAGTCGACACATAACTGACGCTTTCGATTAGCTGAGGAAAAAATCATGTGATTAATAGCAAAAGGTTCTGATAGATATTCAAATATTGAATCATTTGAATAGAAATAAATGCAAAGATTCAGAATTTCACAGTTGTTCAGTCCACACAAAAACACTCACAAAAAATCTGACGAATACAAAAAACACAACACTGCTCTTTGGCTAGATTTTGAAATGTTCAAAAAGTTAGATAGATGACTTTTCTAAAAGATTTTTTGTCAATATTCAAGTTCAAAATCAAATTCAAGTCTCCCCCGTAGTACTTTTTGCCAAATAAACTTAAAAGTTTTACCTACTCCAACAAAGCTTTATAACAATTTTTATTTCAGCAAAACATCTTTTTGGTCCTTTTTTCCCTTGTAAAATATTAGATAACATATCACTGGTAATCCTTTACGTTTCTCTTTTAAGTCTTTTAAAAGTTTATTTAATCTTGTACTCACTAAACCAATCACGTTTTTTTTTTATTTGTGCCCAACCCTTTGTTGATCTTCCAAACCATTCATGTTTCATTATTGCTTCACCTATTTCTTAAAATTTCCATCTACATACTTGAAATGCTGGGCAGACAGTTTCCTAACAGCTATTGTTTCCCAACTGCCTGATATCCTCCATCTGCATGTGTATAAAAAGCTCTAACGACCAACACACCGTCAGATTTGCCTTGACCTTCTCTGGGACAGATTGTGAAGAGACGACAGTAATTGCAAATTTCTTTTTTAATTATTCATTCTGTTTTCTATTTGATTTTTCTGTCAGACATTGACTCAGTGCCTTCATGATACTGTTTTTTTTTTTAACTTATTGTAATTTTAAAATTATTATTATTTCTTATTTTGGCAGGTAATCAGTGAAACAATGCTGAAGGTAATATTTGTGCTGGGATGCCTCCTGTGTCTCACTCTGGCTTATTCTGTAAGTGCCATATTTATAAAGACTGAATCAATGTTATTTTAGTCGGTGCAGCCGCCACAGAAAAAAACATTTATATGTTTTTATTGTTGTTTTTAACAGGATGATTCGGCATCCAGCCGGGAGCACCGCTCACTTCAAGGCCATCATCCTGCTAGGGTAAGTTTATTGTACTAGTTTTACTGGAGTAGATAAGAACTGTTGCCAAACCAGAATCTGTTTCCTGAATCTGAATAAACCTGACCTTGATTTGTGTTTCAGGGCGGTGGTCCTCCTCGTGGGAAACATGGCCACCCTTGTGTACCTTTCGATATCCTTCTGAAGCTTCGTGAGTTTCTGCTCACCAGAACTACCACCGCAGCTGCTTCCACCACCGCAGCTGCTTCCACCACCGCAGCTGCTTCCACCACCGCAGCTGCTTCCACCACCGCTGCTCCTACCACAGCAGCTCCTAATACCACAGTGGCAGCTACAACATAAAGAATCTTCTCTCCCCACTAAATATGGCAAATAACATCTCATGATTCTTCATGCTGTTTCCTAAATAAAGTACAAGTTGAATGCATATGGTCTCAATGTGTTTGTGAATGAAAAGTGAGTTAATTGGCTTTTTTCACACCAGCTATGCACATTTTTATTGAAGACAAATTTCAAATGCAAACGACATTACATTTATAACTCAGAACTCAATGAAGTATATGGATTGCGCAGTATATGGAAGTGATGAAAATAAGTAAAACCATTTAGAAATAATTCTGTCTTCCAGTTATCAAGCAATACATTCACTTCTTGTTACTGTGCACTATTTTATTTTATATTTGTATCATGTTCGAATAAAATTTCATTTCATTTCATTTCATTTCAAATGATGGAATTTAGAAAAGAAAAACACATAGAAATCCCACATCATTTTTTTATGTCATATTAATGTAAGACTTGTATATATATTTTTCCCCCTACACATTTTTCATCTCTTTCTTCTCACAGTCTGAATTAACAGCTTCAAGAACTTACAACAAACAGCGACAGAAAAAAGAAACTAACTGTGACGATCTGTGTTATGCACTTTTAAAGTTTTGAATGTCTTTTACTTAATATGTTTTTAAAACTAGTCAAGCAGTGAGCGGACTGATTCTCAAAAGGCAAAAACAGTTAAGATCTATGGAAGAAATCAAACACGTGGCTGAGGTTTCCGACTGGTGGTGTAGAAGGAGGAAATCAGGGCTCAGCAGAAAACATGGCAGCATAACGGCTGAACAAACTTTGTTTGATGTTTAATAGATAAATTTACTCTGCTGAAAATGGATTTGTGGTGCATCTGTAAGCTAAACCTGGAATCCAAGCTGGAAGCAGATGGGATTCTGCTTCAAGATCAGGAGATGTTGCAAACACTGATCTGATGAGGAATAGTCAAACTATTCTTTGAGGTTTATTAGGAAGCAGGTCATCTTTACCGTAAAATATTTTTGAAAACTGTCTATAATCTTTATTTCTCTTCACCATCATGTTATAATTGTGTTGGTCAGTTAAATAAAATCACAATAAATTACATTAAAGTAACTACCTATGGCATAATAACTTTAAAAAAATAAGTCCAAGGAGTTTAAATATATTTGCAAGGCGCTCTATTTTTTCCATGTCGTTTGTGCTCAGGAATAAAATTAAATAACATCAAATAAATGTCTTTTGTTATTTATTATGTAATTCAAATGTTAACAGGCAAGTTGTTGAGTTCCATCTGAGAAACAACTAAAAATAAATATAATCTTAAGGTTTTCATGAAAGTTGAAACCAAACCAAAGTTGATTGGTTTGGTGTGTTTAAATTCAAGGATGTTTTAAGCATCGAGGGAACAGATGGCAGCCTTATGTCTGCAATATTACAATGAAAATAAGTTAAAAAGTACAAAAGTCACATGTAAATAACTCATTCATAAAGTAGCAAATAGATTGTTTGTAAATGTTTCATAACTTAGTGAGGATAAGTTTTGGTATATTGACTGAATTTGTACAGTGTTGTTCTAGTCATACTAACCACTCGAAGGCCTTTACTGAAGTATTTCACTTTGCCCAGAGGCACATCAACATGTGGCAGGAGGAGGCTGGAATTGACCCTGCAGCTTTCCAGTTGACAGAAAATATTCTACACATTCAGGTCGAGTCAAGTTTACCCCAAAGTCAAAAACCCTTATACGTTTTGTAAAAAATAAGATAAAAACGACTTAACACTCATGCATTATCTTACTTACTTCGAACCATAAAGCTGCACAGGCAATTTTAAAACTCTGACTTTACTTTAGGCGACACAGATATAACATGATAGACATTATTACGCCAAGGTAATGAGAGCCTCTCAGACTAAAAATTCCCAGAAACGTTTGCAACAGTGCGTTATATTTATTACCTGTAATATAAAAAAAAATATAGACTACGTCCATCATGTGTACATCCATAAACAAGATAATTATAATGTTAGGAAAGAATGGAGCAAGCACCGTTTCCAGGGAGCTCTAAGCACCAAACACAACAGTTTCGCAAGTCGTTATGAAAGGAATGAGTGGCTCCAGATTTTAAAATAAAGAATGAAGGATTGTTCTCTGATAAAAAAAAAAAAGTATCAGTTATGCAGACATTCAATTTTCAAACTTTAAACATTTCTTTGAAGATGGATTTTATCTGGCTGTGTTTGTGCACATTCTCACACATCCACTCAGATACATAACAGGATGAGGGCATTTAATCTTATAAAAACCCCACCCAACCCTAAAGCCGAAACTGTGTGCACACCCCTGTTGGTTTTTTTCCTGAGGCTAACCGCGGCCCATCAGAGATGAGGCAACACCTGTGAAGTTGGCGGGCAATGTCGACACAGTAGAGCTGTTTAAAAGGTAATTGTGTTTCTTCAGGCACCCATATGCAGACTGAGTTGATGAGCGTGATCTTTTATTCGTTATAAAGCTTTTTATTCTCGAGCCCGACTGTGATACGGAGACTAAGCCAGCATGAAGTCCAGGATAGTGTGTTTTCTGTTGATTCTTCTTTGCATTAGTGTCCATGCAACTGTAAGTACAAAACTGTTAAGCACTGCTTTGTTTACTTGACGTTGTGCAAATTATTGAACATTTTTTTGTGCTAAAGTGAAATAATTTATCTCTTTGTGAATTTTGAAGAGGTGCCATGGTAAGCGCAGTTCTAGCAGTGAGTCGGGCAGTGGAGAGGTAATTAATAATAATGCAAATAATTTTTTATTTTGATCGTTTTTAGCATTTATCAGTATTGCCTAAGTTTCTTTTCTGTTTTTTTTTTTTTGTTGTTTTTGTTTGTTTGTTTGTTTTTGCTTCAGGTGAACACAGTAGACCTGCCTTCACTTATCTGCACTCTGTTTCCGACTCTGTGTTCAACAAAGACTACAACAACAACAACAACAACAACAACAACAACAACAACAACAACAACCGCCACAACAACAGCAACAACAAAGGCAGTCACGACTTCAGTCACCTCCCGAGGAGACAATCGAGGAGACAGCCTCTATAATGAATCCAACACGAGGAATATTTAGCAAGATGGGGAGAGTTTGTTTACTTTGTTTTGCAAAATGATCAGTTTAATGGTGTTTTATTTTGGTAAGGCCATTTAAAAAAAAAAAAAAAAAAAACAGAATTAAATGGTTGACATAAAAACGAATGTATTAGTTTGAACTAGTTAAAATTTATTTGTTGTGCCTCCTTTCCTTTTCTATTACACTTTGTTGATTGCACTTAATTTATCCAGCACAGTTTTTGATTGTCTTTCCACGTAAAGTCTTGATAATGTTTGTCCATACGGTGAAAAACACCAATATAAGCAAAGAGTAATGGACAACGTATGTTGGAGACGGGTCCCCACCGATGAGAAGACTCTGACAACACACCAGTGTAACATCCACTCAGTAAACTCACACAGACAAGCCTGAATGCTGACTGCTTAAGAAAAGGGATGAGTGTAAGCTGCTAGAAGCCAGACTCTGCCAACTCTGTCGCTCCTGAATCACCTGACCAACACTTTGATTCATTCTTTTGCACTGCTGATTCCTAAGACTTTGACTGAAATACATTGTGTTTTGTTCTAATCAATTACTTTGTGTTTGATGTAATTTGATGTGCCTAAACACTGTATTATCAAAAATCCTGATTTTGAATGTACTTTTTCTCTATTTTTTTTTTTAACTCATAGGTTTTTTTTTTCTTAATTATGACTGTGCACTGACTGATCTTATGTGTGCTGCAGGTGAACTGTTATGGTTCTAATAAAATCAAATAAAATGAACAAGATATTTGCAAAGATAAAGTTTAGTAATAGTATGTATATGAATCACTATGAACATTAAATGATAAATCAAATGAGAATGCTACATCCTGCGAAAGATCTCGTAGATTTCTCAATGATCTCACTGAATACAATGAGTTCAAGAAGCTCCATGTTTTCTGCTCTGCTGCTTTTGACGATGCGTCGCTAAAAAGTATATTTTGGGGCTCTTTACTTACTTAGCACACTGCTGATTCCACTGAAGTCAAGTGTCTAAGGGAGCCCCACATCAACGGCAAATGGTGTTTTCCAGAGATTTACAGAAACACAAGCAGTTCCTGATCACACACACTCAGTCAGTCACACAGTTTCCCCTTTCTGATCACAGCAGAAATGCTAAAACAAAGACACTGTGGAAGATCAAAGGAGGAGTCTGACATTGTGCTCATTGACTGTCAGACATGAAAACTTAATTCACCAGATAACTTTCAACTTTGCATAATGTCCAGGACATTATGACCGTTGAATTTTGCCACATGTGTTGCCTGTTTATTTGTTTGTTTATGTAATTTAAATGAATATGTCACATGCTGACATAAACAAAAGTTTTGAATGAAAAGTATTGTGTAGCCCACCCCTTCTCTGAAAAGTCTATTCACTAAACCATAAGCGGCACACACCAATCAGCCGTCCATACTAAACACAAAACAGGCAATGTGTATATTTAATAACAACAAAGAAATCTTTGTAATGACGCAGCACCATACTGTTTCAATATACCGTGTAGTGCTGTATATTGATTATAGTGATTGTATTTTATTTTTCTAAAAAGTAAAAATTGATCCGCTCTCTTTGGTTTCTTTAGACAGATTTGTTCCATAAACAGAAATACAAATTTAAATTTATTTTGTTTTTTAAGGGTGATGGGATATAATGTGATTCTAATATTAAAATGGCATTAAATTGTCATATTTGTTGTGTTTAATGTACAGCGATACTTTAGCTTTTCATCATTTCTACTTCAAAGACATGAATTT